GGTGGAGGAGGATGTGGAGAGGGAGTTGAAGAAGAGGAGGGAAGGAGGGAGGGAGGGAGGGAGGAGGGAGAGGGAGGGAGGGAGGGAGGGAGGGAGGTGAGGAGGAGGAGGAGGAGGAAGAGGAGGAGGAGGAGGAGGAGGAGGAGGAGGAGGGAAGGAGGAGGTAGGAGGAGGAGGAAGGGGGAGGAAGAGGAGGAGAGGAGGCAGGAGGAGGAGGATGGAGGGAGGAGGAGGAGGAGGAGGAGGAGGAGAGGAGGATTGATGGAGGAGGGGAGGAGGAGGAGGAGGAGGAGGAGGAGGCCTTAGCAGGGATGAGGAAGGAGGATGAGGGAGGGAGGAGGGAGGGAAGGGGAGGAGGGGGATGGACGATGGAGGATTGAGGAGAAGGAGGAGGAGGAGGAGGAGGAGCAGCAGGAAGGATAAAGAAGGAACAGACATGGTTGAGTTGCGGAGAGACGAGGAGGATGGAGAAGGGAAAGGACCAGGAGGAGGAGAAGAAGGATGAGGAGGATGAGGAGGAGGAGGAGCGAGCCGCCTTGGTGGTCGCTATCTGATATAAGTAAGGTATCTGATGAAATATACGGAGTATAGCAGATAGGCGTTGTCACTCAGAGGGTGTGCGTAGCGACGGCCTCGTCACGCAGAGAGAGAGAGAGAGTGTGTGTAACGAGGGGGGGGATTGTCCACGCGTGTGTTGCTTCATACTACTCGTTGACAAGACCAATCAACCTCAATGGTAGCGGAAGTCCTACCCAGGAAACGTTTCAATCAGATCGATCCGATTCGATACCGACTCTGGCCGGACCGATCCGAATCGATTCCGAAATTCCGACAATCGTCTGATACGGCCTGATGGTTGCATGGCGTTGTTGTGCGTCCTGCCGCAACCGATCCGACTCCAGTCCGACTCCGCGCCGGGTTCGGCCCGATTCGACGCACATTTTGATTCGATCCGGTTTTTCCGATTCGATTTTGACTGATCCTGCCGCCCCCCCTCCTTGTCCTCCCCGTTCCCCCCCCCCCGCCTCAGCGCTGGCGGACGAGTGCGACCAAACCTCTCCTCGGACACCGACGCCGGATCACGAACACCCTCTTGATGTTTACCCTTCCCCGCGGTCGGGATCTTTGGCGTGTCGCTCCGCGGGTTGTGGCCCACCACGCCTCGGCACGACCCGCTATCTACTTGCACCATTTCCAAGCGTCAGCGCGCCGAGCCTTTCCTAGCCTCCCGCCCCGCGGAGAAGAGCGGCACGCTATCTTCTCGCAAAGCATAGCGTGGCGCCAGGGTCGCCGCTCCGACACCGTGTGCAAAAGCTCCTGACCGTCACCTCCCCACGCCGCCTCCGACTACTCGAACAGGGGATCGACTACAGAACTGATGTGTCCCAAACTTAGAGAGACGTGCGTTAGACTGTTCGTAGATATATGAACATTCTGCGTATGACTCGACGAGGGAATCAATTCGGGGGTTGATCAATTCTGTAGTGGATCCCCTACTCGAACTGCGATCCGTGAGGGCTCTGGCCCGCCTGGGCTTGCCTTCCTGGGCCCCGCCCTATGGTCCGGGGCCCCCAAACGGGGTAGTGACCACACCGTGTGGTGAGTCGGTGGGGATTCGGGGTCACCGCACGGCTTTGGGACTCGGGTCGCTTTCCGAGGACGTCTCGGGCGACTGGAGCCTCCAGGGTCCCAAAACCGGGCGCTGACGGACCGTGCAAGGTGAGGTTTTTTACCAGCCTGGAACATATCCCTATCCCTATGTTGGGCACCTCCTCATCACGATGCCAATCTTAGGGATTCCCTTATTTTTTGAGGGCGAATCCCTAAGATTGTCATCGCCTTTTGGCGTGTCAATCTTAGGGATAGGGATACGTTCGAGGCTGGTAAGTCCTGGGGATTTCGAGGTCACCGCGCGGTCTGTCACCGCATCGCTCCGGGATCCCAGATGTGGGCGGTCGCCCGGGCGCGCTCCGCGCCCCGCCCGTGGCGCTCCCGCGAGGCGCAGGCCCGCTCTCTGGGGACCTCGCTGTGGAGCAGGGCACAGGCGCCCCCCGGCGCCGGCGGGCCCTCTCGGCCCCGTCGTGGTCGTCGTCGTCGTCGTCGTCGTCGTCGTCGTCGTCGTCGTCGTCGTCGTCGTCGTCGTCGTCGTTTCGGTCGTCGTCGTCGTCGTCGTCGTCGTCGTCGTCGTCGTCGTCGTCGTTGAGGTCCTCGTTGAGGTCGTCGTTGAGGTCGTCCTCGTCGTCGTGGGTCGACGACTGGTCATCGAGGCTCGAGGTCGACGGCGGCGAGCTTGAAGCCCCTGGGGCGCCCCCCTCGGCACGGCCGGGCCCGCCGCGAGAGTCTGGCCAGAGCGCACGCCTGGACAGGTCAGGCGGTCGGTGTCCTCCTCCTCCTCCTCCTCGTCCTCCTCCTCGTCCTCCTCCTCCTCGTTCTCCCCCGCCTCCTCCTCCTCCTCCTCCTCCTCCTCTTCCTCCTCCTCCTCCTTCTCCTCGTCCTCCCTCTCTCTTTTCGGCCACGCGCAGAAGGGGGCAATGAAGGGAAACGATTAAAAAAATCGCCAAAAAACCCCCCCCCCCCTCCGCCGGACCCCCCAAAATGATTGAGTGGGGCGGACTAATAAAATTCAGCCGCCGGAAGCTGTTTTTTTAATCGTCCGCCCCCCGGCTCACCCGCGGCCGCGTGGGGAGGGTTGCGGAGGGGAGACGGGGTAATTAGGGAGTAGTTGAGGGAAGGGGTTTTCGAAGAGGCGCTTGATCACCTTCGTCCTTGCGGACGGCCGCCGGTCGTCCTTGCGGACGGCCGCGGCGATTGGGAGGTGGGGGATGAGGAGGAGGAGAAGGAGGAAGAGGAGGAGGGGGGAGGACAAGCTAGGTGCGCTCGCGTCATATATGACAGCCTACCCCTCCCTCCCATATCTTACCATGGCGTAGATCCCCATTCTACTCGTGCAGTCGGATGTCGAGCAGGGCAATGATCCCGAAAGGGTACGCGATGCATTGTATATCACGGCGTGGCATGGCGTCGAAGAGCACCGCAAAGCGTTGTATGTCACAGCATGGCGTGGCGTGGCGTAGTGAAGAATTGCATCGCAAATCCTTGCAACGCACAGCATGGCATCGCACAGCGGCCCCGAACATAACATTGCATAGCATGGCGTTGAAGATCAAAGCCATGTCTCCTCTGGAGGCCAAAGGAGCACCAGCCTGCCTGACTGGCTGCGGACTGCGGCGCGCGGCGACGAGGAGGAAAGGGAGGCGAGACAGCGAGAGGGCCGCCCTCGTCCTTGCGGACGGGGGGGGGGGAGGAGGACGAACAGGAGGAAAACGAGGAGGAGGAAACGGAGAAAAAGGAGGAGGAGGAGGACGAGGAGGAGAAGGACGAGGAGGAGGAGGAGGAACAAGGAGGAAAAGGAGGAGGAGGAGGACGAGGAGGAGGAAGAGGAGGAGGAGGAGGAAGAGGAGGAGGAGGACGAGGAGGAGGCGGAGGAGGAGGAGGAGGAGGACGAGCTCGCCCTGAAAAATCACCCCGTCCACCTCCGTGGCCCCCGCGCCCTTGATCGCCACCCTGCGCCCCCCTTCTGCCTGCCCTGCCCCCCCCGCTATTGCGGGGGCGAGGAGGCCCGCGAAACAATTTTTTAATCGTCCGCCCCACTCTTTATAAAAAATCGTTTCCCTTCATTATGTGGGTAGGGGGGGGGGGTTCTTAGAATCGCCCCTGCCTCTTAGCAGGCGCTGGCCTTGTCTGTAGATGGGAGATCCATCGCCTTCGAAGAAGCAGGATGCTTTTGAGAGGCCCCATCCCATCCCCCTAATTACCCCCCCCCTACACACCTCCGAACGAAGACGGGCGATTGAGGCTCTGAGAGCTTCCCGTGGAGAGGGCCCAGGCTTTTTCAGGCACGGGCTCTGGCCCAGGGCTTCTATTTTGACATGCGGTTCGTTGTCGTCGTGGTCGTCGTCGTTGTCGTCGTCGTCGTTGTCGTCGTCGTCGTCGTCGTCGTCGTCGTCGTCCGCTTCCTGTCGACGATCGGGAGTTGAGGGCGCAGGCGTCTCCAGGAAAGGGCTCAGGCCCAGGGTTTCATTTTAGCATGTAGTTCGTCGTCGTTGCCATCCTATCGGAGATCGGGAGTTGAGGGCCCAGGCCATTCCAGGAAATGGCTCCGGCCCGGGACATTATTTTGACACGTAAAACGTGGACTCGTTTTCGTCGTCGTCGTCGTCGTTTTCGTTGCCGTCGTCGTCTTCAATGAAGTCGTCGTCGAGGTCGCCCGCGTCATCGTCGTCGTCCGTCTTTCATCGAGGTTTGAACATTGAGGGTCCAGTTTGTTCTTAAGCTTTGTGGGCGTGTTTGGGTTTCGAGGGGCTTCGTCGCAACGTGGGGCGTCGTCGTCATCGACCGCTACCCCAGCCTCGTCGTCGTCGTCGTTCTCGTCCTTCTCATCGCCCTTTCCTTGTCCCCCCCCCCTCGCCTCAGCTAGCTGCGAGGGCCGCCTCGTCCTCCTGCTCCTCCTCGATCGCCGTCGTCGATTGTCGACGCCGTCGCTTCCCTGTTTTCCTCCTCCACCTCCTCCCCCCTCGTCCTCCTCCTCCCCCTCCTCCTCCTCCTCTTCCTCCTCCTCCTTTTCCTCCCTCTCCTCCCGTTCATTCTCCTCCTCCTCCTCCTTCTCCCCCCCCCTCCTCCTCCTCCTCCTCCTCCTCCTCCTCCTCCTCCTCCTCCTCCTCCTCCTCCTCCTTCTCTTTCTCCTTCTCCTTCTCCAGGTTCCCACCCGCCTTCCGCAACAGTAGTAGGTATGCAGAATTAGTGGCAGCAGGGAGGCTACCCATGATCGTGCCAAATAACCCAGTGACAGTGGCTCCGGCCACACGCGACAGCCGACTCCTCACACCTCGCCTTGAGCCGCCAGCGCGCCCGCAGCAGGGTAAAGGTCGCAGCAAAGGCAAGAGCAGGATGTGAGATGAGCACATCTGAGGGCAGTTTGTTTTGTCTGAGGCGTTGCCCACAGGCGATGCTGCCCAGTAGACTCGGTCAGGCTGCAGAGTAGGGAGTAGAACTGCAAAGTAAGTCATGACACTGAGTGTCAGCAGTCGCCTAGCCCGCCATATTGCGGGAGTGGATTTTGCCAGGCAAGAGCGTTTTGTCAAACGTTTCCACTTGCGAGAGAAAGGTCTTGCTTGTGTAGAGCCAGAGCTAGACTGATGCCGAGCCAGTATACTATGCAGCAGTACTGTGAATAGCTTAGTCAGTTGACGACACGTCGTGTCCGATTCAGAGTCAGCCAGTCCTCCTCCTCCTCCTCCCCCTCCGCCTCCTCCTCCTCCTCCTGAGGTACCCTTGTAGCCCTCGGCCCAGGCACCTGCTGGGCATAGGGTCCACTGCCGCGCACTTGCGCGGCCCCTTCTCCTCCCCTTGCCTGCTACGGTCACCTCCGCGCGGCTGCAGTGGCTGCCCTTGGAGCTGGCGCGTGGGCTGCAGGCGTACGTCGGGCTCAGTTCGCCTGTCACTTCTGTCGTGCGGGACACGAACATGAGCATTAGGGTCGCGTGCGGGTGGCTGACCAGCATCCCCAAAGAACTCCCACCGGCCAGCGTCGTTGACCATGGCCGCAAGAGCTCGGACAGCACTTGCTGCGTGAAGGCATCGCTGAAACATGCCCCTGGTGGACGCCCTGACGGCCATCTCGATCGAGGTGATCCGCCTCGTGCTGCTGGCGAAGGTGATGGCGCTGATGACGACGATGGGGGCGGTGGACCACGCGGCCCTAGCAGAGATCGTGGGGCGGGTGCTGATGGGCGGCTCCCTGAGCAAGGTCCTTGGCATGACTGTGGTGGTCCCTGGACGGCTGGCGGCGGCCCAGCTCGCACTCCGCTAGTTATCTGTCGTGCACCCTCCCCTCAGCTACCTCGCAGAAAGACGCATGGGACTTTCGTGGACCTCCCGCACGTCCCGTCCCGCAGCCGTTCTGGCCAGAGAGGGTGGTTCCGACTGCGGCATTCAGAACGGCATTCCGGTCGGCGCCAAAGGTTTGTTCCGATTTCCTTTGATGGGCATGTTTTCCACCACAACCGCCATAAGCTGGAGGGGGAGGGGGTCCTCCTCCTCCACCTCCTCCACCCCCTCCTACTCCCCGTCCTCCTCCTCCTCCTCCTCCTCGTCCTCCTCGTCCTCCTCCTTCCCCCCTCCAACTTCTGGTGGTGGTGGTGGAAAACAAGCCCATCATCCTTTCCCCAGCATGCCTCGCGCATCGCCGCTTCTCACGGCGCAGAGGTGGCGGCCTGGCCCCGGTGTGTGTGCAGGTGCTCCCGGCGGCCGCTGCGGGACGAGGCGCACACGGCGGGTGCAGGGACGTTCCGACGCGTCCCCGCTTTTTTTTGTTGCTGTCGGGATACCGTTTTTGCACGGCTCGCTGGCTGCCGAGTCGGAGTGGTGTGGGGGTGACGCTGGGCCACTTTCCACCACCGCCACCATATGTAGAAGAGGGAGGCGGAGGAGTTGGATGAGGAGGAGGAGTAGAAGGTGGAGGGAGGAGGAGGAGGAGGAGGAGGAGGAGGAGGACCTCCTCATCCTCCTTTCTCCCCCGACCTACATATGGTAGTGGTGGTGGAAAACTTGCCCATCAGGTGATAAGGTTCGGTGGGTATGTGGATCATGCGGATGTGGCAAAAACTCGTGATCGTGGCCATGGTGCAGACACTGTGAGCCGCCCTGGTCTCAGAGCACCAATTCGCGGGAAGCTCTGGGCAGGAGACAAGACGGCGGCGGTCATCGGCAGCAGAGTGGCAGCCCGCGGCATCAGCAGCTGGCAGGTCGTCAACAGATGAGATCGATCAACCTGCGGAAATTGGGCCGTGGAGGTGGCAAGTCTTCCGCCATTCGTTGCAAGAAAGAGGCTGAGGCTCGGCACGTCCCCGCCCCCCAGCACCTCTTCGGTTCCAAGTCGATGTTGCTCGCAGCGCCGCCAGTCCGACAAGCGTGTGCAGGTGGCTGCGTCGAAGTACGAGCCAACAGCTCTCGAGGCACAGCAAGAAGAAGTTGCTCGGCTGCGTAAGCAGCTCGTTGAGTCAGAAGGCACGTAGTCGCAAGTCGTTGGTTCTTGCCCTTGCGGCTGCACATGGCGCAGGTCAGTCCCAGCCAGTTCGTGCGCCGGTTCTGTAAGTGTCAGACATCTTGGATGGTAAGCTGGAGGAAGCGCTTGCCAATGAAGTTGACTTCCTCTCCCTGACCGGACAGGAGGACGAGATGGCGGCAGAAGATGAGGATGAGCTTTCCGAACGTACCAAGCAGTTGGAATCTGGCGTCAAATCAACGCGTAAGCAGTTGCATGTGCAGGCCATTGTCTCAGCCGGCAAGATTCTAAATGTGCGCGCCCAGCACCTTGAGTGCATCGCTGTCAAACGCCAAAGCGTTGATCCAGCGGATGAAGGTGATGATGTTTCTTGTGCCCCTGTTGCGCGTACCGGCCATGGTGGCAAGGGCCGCGACGCGGGGGGGGGGCAGCGCCCT